GTTTGTTTTGTTTACCTAAATTATATAGTTTCTTCACTTTTATAAATATATTTCTAAAGTAAGTTGATAACATGCATCAAATATACAATCATTTAGTTACCAATTACGTACCTTTAAACTATTTTTTATGATCTGTAAACAATATTTAGAAATAAACTAAAAACAGTAAAAACGTATGTCAAATTTATTGAGGTTTTTGTTAAAAGTTTGGTTAGAATTAAATGTCAATGGAACCAAAATGACATCACACCGAACTAGCGTATTTTAATGTTTCTAAGTATTGTGAAAATTCGAAAAATAAAATTTGGAAATCGAATTTCGGCTTTCACTGAAAGGAACATGCTCATCTATACAGATAGCAGAAAAGCACTACTCACCCTGAACAGACCAGGAATTTCTTCAGGGTTAGTACTAGAATGTCACGAAGCTTTGGCCGAAGTATCCATCAACAATGTGGTCACCTTAAGATGGATTAAAGGTCACGCCACATCGAAAGGTAACCGTCTTGCTGATTCACTAACCAAGAAAGCAGCTATCCAAATACTTTTTGGACCTGGCCCTTCTATTGGCCTGACAAAATCGGTAGTGACACAGACCTAATCAAAGAACATTCCCTTGTGAAATTCAAAGAAAGATGGGATGAAACAAGAAACTGCAGAGTTGCCAGGGAGCTCTTAAGTTATCCTGACAATACTGCAGCAAAAAAATACTTGACTATGACTAGACAGAATCTGCGCCTAGTTACAGGCATTCTGACTGGTCATTGCCAAGTACGGAAGCATTTTCTTTATCATGGGGCTGTCAGAATCCGCACTTTGCAGAGGGTGCGAACAAAAAGATAAGACTACCGAGCATAACCTTTACGATTGCTCGACGCTCTCATTTATTAGAAGATTTGTGTTCGGCGAGTATCGGCTAATACCGGCCGATATAAGAGATGCACCTCTTGGCGACGGTGTCAACTACATTAAATCTGTAGGCTGCCTCACAAGCTAGGAGGTGTCTATCATCTCAGGAGGATGCACAATGAACCTAATGAGGCCTAAGTGCCATGGCGGCAACCCACCCTCCACGCGTTACAGATACAGATTCGGCTTGGAAAAAATGGTCAAACGGCATAAGTTTAAAATTAAGATCTATAACGATTTAGAATTGTGTTTTGACGTTTGGCCACCCTCTAAAATAATTTTATTGTTCTAAGTATTGTGAAATTTCAAAAAATTAAAATCCGAAAATCGAATTTCGGCTTGGAAAAAATGGTCACACGACATATAGATTTAAAATTAAAAATTATTGCGATTAAGAATTTGGTTTTGACGATTGACCACCCCCTAAAATAATTTTAATGTTTCTAAGTATTGTGAAAAATCAAAAAATAAAATTCGAAAATCGAATTTCGGCTTGGAAAAAATGGTCAAACGACATAAGTTTACAATGAAGATCTATGACGATTTAGAATTGTGTTTTGACGTTTGACCACCCCCTAAAATATTTTTAATGTTTCTAAATATTGTAAAAATTCAAAAAAAAAAATTACAAAATCGAATTTCGGCTTGAAAAAAATTGTCAAACGACATAAGTATACAATAAAGAACTATAACGATTTATTGTGTTTTGACGTTTGACCAACCCCTAAAATAATTTTAATGTTTTTAAGTATTGTGAAAATTGGAAAAATTAAATTTGGAAATCTAATTTCGGCTTAGAAAAAATGGTCAAACGACATAGGTTTAAAATTAAGAATTATTACGATTTAGAATTTGGTTTTGACGATTGACCACCCCCTAAAATAATTTTAAAGTTTCCAAGCATTGTGAAAATTCAAAAAAATAAAATTCGAAAATCGAATTTCGGCTTGGAAAAAATGGTCAAACGACATAAGTTTAAAATTAAGAATTGTTACGATTTAGAATTTGGTTTTGACGATTGACCATCACCTAAAATAATTTTAATGGTTCTAAGTATTGTGAAAAATCAAAAAATAACATTCGAAAATCGAATTTCGGCTTGGAAAAAATGGTCAAACGACATAACTTTACAATAAAGATCTATAACGATTTAGAATTGTGTTTTGACGTTTGACCACCTCCTTAACTAATTTTAATGTTCCCAAGTAGTGTGAACATTCGAAAAATAAAATTTGGAAATCGAATTTCGGCTTGGAAGAATAATCAAACGACATAAATACACAATAAGGTTCCCTAATGGTTTACAATTTTGTTTTGACGTTTGACCACCTCCAAAAATAATTTTAGTGTTTCAAAGTAGCGTGAATTTTTTCGAATTTTCACAGTATTTGGGAACATTAGAATTATTTTAGGGGGTAGTCAAACGTCAAAACATAATTCTTAGACGTTATGTATCTTTATTGTAAACTTTTGTCGTTTGACCATTTTTTCCAAGTGGAAATTCGATTTCCAAATTTTATTTTTCGAATTTTCACACTACTTAGAAACACTAAAATTATTTTAAAGGGTGGTCAAACGTCAAATCACAATTCTAAATTGCAATAAATCTTAATTTTAAACTTATGTTGTTTGACCATTTTTTCCAAGTGGAAATTCGATTCCCAAATTTTATTTTTCGTATTTTCACAATACTTAGAAACATTAAAAATATTTTAGGGGGTGGTCAAACGTCAAAACACATTTCTAAATCGTAATAGATCTTAATTTTAAACTTATGTTGTTTGACCATTTTTTCCAAGCCGAAATTCGATTTCCAAATTTTATTTTTTGAATTTTCACAATACTTAGAAACATTAAAATTATTTTAGGGGGTGGTCAAACGTCAAACCACAATTCTAAAAAGTTATAGATCTTTATTCTAAACTTATGTCGTTGGACCATTTTTTCCAAGCCGAAATTCGATTTTCGAATTTTATTTTTTGAATTTTTTCCCTACTGGGGAACATTAAAATTATTTTAGGGGGTGGTCAAACGTCAAAACATAATTTTAAACCTTTGTGGATATTTATTATGTCCTTATGTCGATTGACTATTTTTATGAACTGGAAATTGGATTGGGAAATATTTTCTTTGAATTTTTAACCCCTCTATGGTCTTTCAAGATATTTTAGGGAGTGATCAAACGGCGATACATCATTTTAAACGTTTTTGGATCCTATTGTATCTTTCTGATCATTGATCTATCTTTCAATCCCAGAACTCTTGTTTTTCTATAATTTACCCCCTTTAAATTATTTTAAGGGGTGTTAAAAAAATCTAAGTGGTGGTCAAACATGTTCAAAAATTGGTTAATGATATGGTGCAGTCAGTGTAAAAAAAATAACTTCAGGGGACCAGCGGGCATTCGGTCATTCGGTCATTATTATTTTTTTAAATATTTAGGTTTCTGAAAATGGTCAAAAAAAGTTAGTGGGTGGTCAAACATGATCAATAGATGGTGAAACGTATGCCGCTTTTAAAATTAAAATTTTCGAAATTCGGGGGGCCAGCTTCACAGAGCTGGTAAATACGGATGTATTGACGGAACCTACGTCAAATACATACACTTGCTTAATATTTCAATTTTAATTATAGATACACAAAAAAGTTTCAAAAGTTTAACAAGTTATGGATTTGAAAAAGATATATTAAAAATATGTTTGGATATACGAGTACATTAGGGTAATATTAAATGTTACTTAAAGAAATGCAACAGATCTCAAAACCAGGAATTTCAAAACCCGATGACTAAAAAGAAATATAAAAAGAAATATAAAAAGAAATATAAAAAGAAATATAAAAAGAAATATAAAAAGAAATATAAAAAGAAATATGAAAAGAAATATAAAAAGAAATATAAAAAGAAATACAAAAAGAAATATAAAAATAAAAATAAAAAAAAATGTGATAAAATTTTCAATCGCCGCAAGCCTCTAATATATTTGTTTTGATTTTTAAAACGCATTAGGGTATAATAATTTCAGTTTCTAGTCTAAAGCGATTTTTTATCCAAAATGTGGACATAAATTGGAAAAACCAATAAATTGTTATACTTGTTTTGTCATCTATGGACGAGTTCACAAACACGGAGTAGCTGATAATATATTTCTGTGTTAATACGCTAGCACGGTATAAGAAACAATCGGCAGGCTAACTTGTCTTGGCGGCAACGCTATGCGCACATCTACGCGCACACCGCCATTTTGGGGTCCAACCTCTCAATCAAGCCAGTGGCGTTACTGTCGTCGTTTATATCGACAAAAACAAACAAGTTGCAGCAGCTTTATAATCTTGATAAATCTAAAGTATTTTCATTACAAAAAGCAAGAAAATCTTAATTAGCCATTAAAGAAATTATAAGTAGTAAATTAAAAATTAGTAATGAGTCACATACAATCAAAATCATGTGTCTGAACCAGTTTTTCGCTTTCAACGATTTTTTTTTGTTTTTCCTTTCAGGATTTATGGCTGGAACTCTTATTTTATTTCGCACGATTATAGAAAAATTTTGTTTGTTTTATGTTATTTAATATAGTTGTTTATTCAGAAAATGTATATTAAGTTTATTGTTGTAACCAATAAAGATTCTATAAATAGTTGTTACAATTTTGTATTATTTATTTTATTTACACTTCTAAAATTATTTAACATAAAATTTTACATTTTTATTTGCATTTTCACAAAACTATTCCATATGTCGCTGAAGGTAAACATACTGCCAAATTTCTGTGAGGAATCTGTAACTCTTAATTGTGGACCTCGCGCGCAAATCGCGCTAAATCCCAAAAGTTAAACTTGCAGAAAATCACAAAAAACATATTGCAATAAATAAAATCTGATTACCGTTTTACTGCTTTTTCCTTTGTATTCTGCTGATTGTTAAGGACTATTTTTAACAATTTTCGCTGATTTTTTTTCAACAATTATTTATTAAAAAAGAAAAAAAAAGTGGAATAAGCGGGTTTTGGTTCAAATACAAAAAACTATTATACCAATCCTTTATTAATAAAAAAATATTGAACTGTAAAACACTATTTTCAAAAAATATTATTACTAAATATGCACAGCATTTTCTTCTGAGAGGCAATCGCAAGGTTCAGCTGTCTCATCTTCCATATTGTTGATTGGTTGCCTATGTAGTAGATCATTGTACCAAGCCAAGTTTTTGTCATTCTTCCAATCGTTTCCAAACTGCTTGGTTAATAGATTTCCCAAAGATTTTTTCTTTTTCTCGGGTATGCCCCTTTGACTTTCAAGTACCCTTACTTTCCAGTCTGATTGGAGTATCCCTCTGGACTGTGGTTTCGATAATGTCGTATATTTTTCCGTACCAGTTCTAAACCTAAAGTGCTGAAAGCCACATACAGAAACGTTTCCCGTAGTAGCTTTTTTCAAGCTGATCACTTTCATATCCGAAATGCCATTCATCTTCTTGAGTTTTTCTTCTAGAGCTTTGATGTTGTAGATTTTCCAGCTATTTTCTTCGCCACTGTCGAGTGACCTGACAACTCCATGACTTTTGTAGATTGTCTCATAATCGCTTTTTAGTATTAGAACTGGATGCTTCCTAAGGTCTTTCTCTACGCGACCAAACACTCGGTCGGCTGGTAAAAATGAGTGACCGCGGACCGGGTACGTTATTATAATTTCTGTTACAGCTGTTGGAGCTTTAAATTTCAACCAATAATACAAAGTGTGGATGATGTACGAATTCCTATTTTGTCCGCCGCAACCGTCGCAGAATAATCTCAGTGTATAAATGTCTGTGAGTGTAAGGCTGTTTAAATGGTGGAACAAGGCAGATCCAATTTCTTCAGCACCTCTCCCGGCTTGGTCCTCAGTCCATATATAAAATGTAGGACTTTTGGCTTTTATGTCAACACAACAAAAGTTATACAAGCTAACTTGGTGTGAATAGAATGAATCATTGATGGGAGTTCTGGGCAAAGGCTGCACCTGTTGCAGGTCGAAGCAGAAAGTGTATGAGTTCTCAGATAAACTTCTCATTGATTCGTAAAATGCATTGGCACTTTTCTTATGCATTGTTAGCTCCAGAGCGATTTTTTTGTTTGCATCCTCATCCCGTTCCTTATTTTTCAGATATTTCAGTCTCATGCATTGGGCACAACAATCTGAAGCAGGACTGCTAAACCCTATATTATACTCATTAATAAAAATGTTTCTAAACATATCAAATTTTGTAGTCTTTAATTCTGGTGCACATTGTTCTATATAGAGGTTAAATAACTTTCTCATGGTTAGGCTACAATCAAGATAAACTCGTTTTGATTTTCTTCTATTATAATGACTTTCCTTAGCAGGTAGCCCATCCAGAAATTGTCTGATATTTTGTTTTGTGTGGGTGTGCTTCTTGGAAATTCTGTCACCTCCTCGAAGTTCCTTCGGTATTTTACCCTCAAAACAAACTTTTGCTACACGCCTAACACGATCCTTGCAGATATTGAGTACCCTCAAGAACATGGCTTGACACACTTGAATCTTTTTTTTAGAAAGTCGTTTTGGTATGAAATATGCTACAGCGAACTCCCGCTTTCTAGGTTGGTTTTTGATGGATCGTTTACGTTCGGCAGCAGTCGCAGACAAAAAATGGCATAATTTGATATCCTGTTGAATCTTGTCGTTAGTGGCATTGAAAGAATTTCGTATTTCTTGCACATCTCCAAGATTTATTTCTGAACAACAATATGTAGGGCCCTTGTGCGAACAGGGATTTTTAAATGACTTAACGGTAGTGGTCCGATTTCTGAGGAACAAACAAACAAAATGATTAAGTTTCTTCTTGACAATGATAATAATAATTTGACCTACCTCTTTAATTTAATCTCTTCCCGTTTGGTTCTATTTCTTTGCCTTTTTCTTGATCCCACATTACTTGCACCCACAGTGGTATTAGTATCATCCATTTTTACTGTAACTTACTAACAATAATACACAGTACAAACTGGAACTATGAGGTTATAGAAATCAACTAACCGTGCAAACATAACGCGGAAAGCACGTGGTTTACTGGCCGTACTCAGCGTCATCTATGTTACATTTTAAAAATCTGTTAAGAAAGTATACGAGTAATAGGGATTTATCGGGCTTTGCTACTAATATAGGATTTAGCGCGGTATGCTCCAAAGTCGTATATTTGACAGCTATTTAAAAAGGGATTTAACGCGATTTGCTCTGTGAGTACAGTGTTATATTGTAGGGATCATTGAGAAATATAGGAATCTGCAAAAAAGTACAAAATGTCTGAAAATGGATTTAGCGGGATTTGCGCGCGAGCTCCACAATTATCCTTCCTCCATGATGGTAACTGTGTAAACCCTACATCGTTCCAATTTCAAAGAACATTCAAAAAATTGCAATGTTTAAATTTATTACATTCTGTAACTGAAAACTGCGAAACAGGTGGGGATGCTTTACTTGTAAGGCTGTATGAAATTCGTAGGACTAGTAAGGATGAGCCATTTTCCAAAATTGCGTGTAATGGTGGCAATATTGTCGAAAATGTAAATATAAACAAGCATATTAGGGTTGATTCCACTGTTGTGTTAAACGGAGATTAAAATGACATTGCTAATGTAAAAATGTTATTTTAAACTTCGTTTAACACAACTGTGGAATCGGTCATTAATAAATTGCATGCGCAAAATATTAATATTTTTTAAGAAAATTTTATTATATACGCGGATTTTTAATAAAAAAATGTCTTAAAATTCACAGTTGCGACGTATGTACACAATATGCCTTACCACATGAAGACTTGGATACAAGCTCCATGTATTGTTATTATAAACTATACAAAAAAAGCAAATAAAGATATTTTTGGCAATTTAAAAATGTCAAATAATAATTTTGTATGTTTAATAACAAAAATTGAAATAATTTTTCAACAAAATTTTGAATTATTTATCACTAAATCCGTCGTTTTTAATTTTTTTTTTTTAGATTTAATTAATTCCGATTTCCAGAAATATATGTTATTAAGTTATATTTAAGGATACTCATATATTACACTTTAAAAATATTAATAGAAATTGACCATCAATAAAAACAAGCTAATTATTTGGCGCAATCTGTAGAGCATATTGTCTTCCTTAATGCTGTTTTTATAAGTTAAATTAAAATATATTTTATGTAAATTTTTACTTTTTTGTTTTAATACGATCCTTATACCTTATTTTATTACAAAATCTTTAAATACGCTTTAATCCGACCCTGACTAAGACCCCCGAATGGCGTCGCCAAGGTCAAATTTTCTTAGTTTATTATTTGTGTGCGATCAGCGGCAAGTGAGCCTACCGATCACATGTTTTAATTTTCTTTTACTATACGGAGAATGGTCGCACTGCACAGCTTTCTGAGTGCCTTTTAAAAGGTGATAGAAAACTCCGTCATTTTGAACCCTTATTACGTGTTGCCTACATCTTGGCGCAATATTTTTAATAGGTGCGTTTTAATCATCCGCTTCTGCTTCGGAATTGTCGGTTTTCTTGTTTTAATCTGACAGGTTAAAACGACTAAACCGACAATTCCGGAAGCAGAAGCGGACGGTTAAAACGCACCTGATATTTTGCTAGCTGCTGTCAGTGTCAGTGAATATTATTTTTGAAGTCACAGTTTATTGCTAAAGAATCAGCTCACTCGGACCAGTTGAAAGTTCCAAAATAACATCCACTCCAGGGATACGAATTCAGGATACGCAGAAGACTGCTGTTTTATTATAGGCGGTTGTCATATATTGTATTATCCGAGTTGCACAGCGTATAAACTAAAACATTGAGATCCAAAGTGCCGACGCAGAGTGAGCGATCTGATTCTTTAGCTGTAAACTGTGTCACAGGGTTCAAAATGGCCGCGCCCTATGTTGGGCGTGTCGGACCCCTCTCTTGCCTCGTATAGTAATCAAAGTATGTGCTGCCGATTGTTTCTTATGCCGTGACGCTAGTTTGGTGTGATGTCATTTTGGTTCCACTGACTTTTAATTCTAACCAAACTTTTAACAAAAACATCAATAAATTTGACATATTCGTTTTTACTGTTTTTAGTTTATTTCTAAATATTGTTTACAGGTCATAAAAAATAGTTTAAAGGTATGTAATTGGTAACTAAACGATTGTATATTTGATGCATGTTATCTACTTACTTTAGGACTATATTTATAAAAGTGAAAAAACGATATAATTAAGGTAAACAAAACGAACAAAACGCACTCAAAAAATCTACTGTCACTTTAATTGTCAGTGGAACCATAATTCATCACTGAACTAGCGTATAGTTAATGTTTCTTGTTTTAGCAATTTTTCTATAGATGAAGCCATCAGTACATATAGGATTCAGCCAGTTTAAGTCCACATTTTGGACAGAAAATAGCTTCGGTAGTAGAGTGATTTTTTTTCGTTTTCTCGCTATCAAAACTGGGCAGTACTCGCGTAAATTGTACTCAGTAATTGGTACTCGTAAGTACTTTCATTCTGATGGGACTCATACTCGAAAAATTTCTAGTATGTACCTACCTCTACCTACTTTACATTTTAGAGTAGATATAGAGGAAGGATACTCAGTACTTCTGATTTCTACAGGTGACGATTAACAAGTACGATTATCTTTAATTTAAGTAAAACTTTTTATGTCATTCTCTTTTTATTACATTTCTATATAAGATATAAAAATCTATCTTAAATTCAATACAATTTTTTCTTATCGACTTTTTTCTTAAATTTCCTAACTAACAATTCTAAAACCAATCTTCCCAAAATAATATGTGACAATTACATTAATTTTCAAAATCCCACTACCATCGTAGTCACAACCCTAAGGACTGAAACATAAGAACATATGTCAAACGACGAAATCATGTAATATATGCGTGCATAGACGCTTTAAAATAAGACTGTTCTTTTGAGTATTCTGTCTGTATTTCCAAAAATGAGTTTTTTCTGGACTTCCGACATCCAATGGACGTCCAGTGAAGTATACAAATGGCACACTTTTGACCATTCAGAGCCCCGATAGCACAGGATTCCTAAGGACGTCCATTACATGTCCATTTATCGTCTATACGTCCAGAGCCAATTCTGAACGTTTTAAGTATGTCCAGTTTAGTAAATCCTCGGGACGTCAAGAAATGATATACGCAGAAAGTCAATTCTACGTGCTTTATTATATTTCCATGAATTCACACTCGCATTGTATTATTTGGTTATATTATATAAACAACATATATAATGAGACAATATAAATAATTATTATGGATGGCATTGCCCCAATATCTAATTAAATGAAGGCCAAATAAACAAAAAACGAAGAAGGTCATTGCAAGAAAGAGACATTGTTGACAAGTGACATTTATTATTTTTTATTTAGATTCAAGCCACATACTTTAAAAGAAAATAAAAGTATGTGATTCAAGCCACATACTTTGATTACTATACGGTGCAAGAGAGAGGTTCGGCACGCCCAACATAGGGCGCGGCCATTTTGATTCCTATGCCACAGTTTATAGCTAAAGAATCAGATCGCTCACTCTGCGTCGGCACTTTTGATCTCAATGTTCCAGTTTATACACTGCGCAACTCGGATAATACAATATATGACAACCGTTTATAATAAAACAGCAGTCTTCTGCGTATCCTGAATTTGTATCCCTGGAGTGGATGTTATTTTGGAACTTCCAACTGGTCCGAGTGAGTTAACTGATTCTTTAGCAATAAACTGTGACTCCAAAAATAATATTAACTGACAGCAGCAAGCAAAATATCAGGTGCGTTTTAATCATCCGCTTCTGCTTCCAGAATTGTCGGTTTAGTCGTTTTAAGTCAGATTAAAACAAGAAAACCGACAATTCCGAAGCAGAAGCGGATGATTAAAACGCACCTATTAAAAATATTGCGCCAATACGTAATAAGGGATCAAAATGGCGGAGTTTTCTGTCTCCTTTTAAAAGGCACTCAGAAAGCTGCGCAGTGCGACCATTCTTTGTATAGTAAAAGAAAATAAAAGTATGTGATTCAAGCACTGAAATATTATCAGGGCTCAGGTTTCATTAAAAAAAAATGGTGTTCAATGTTCATGATTCGATGGTATGTACACATTACACGAGTACAAGTTCTGTCATTCCGCCATTTGACTGTGATTCGACTCTGTGAGTTTGTGGTTGATTAATATTAATTTTTTGCAGTTTGTACTATTTTTATTTCTGAGAAAGGTGGAAGTTTTCCAGTGAATACTACAATGCTAAAAGGTTAGTGAATTTATAATGTCTAGCAGGACAAACTTAAACAAACAGATTGGATTTTCATATTGATCTCTTTCATTTTAAATAAGCAATTAAATTATTTTCAGGTTCAGCTAAGAAAGCAAATATGGCTAAATAAAAAAAAACTGAACTGCTGTCAATCCATGCATGGTTAAAAGGGACAAAGTAGAGGAGAGACGAGATGAATTTGACGAAAAAGTTTTAATAATTTTTATTTTTCATAGGTTATTTGCGTCGAAATAATTTTTTTTGAAATTATTCAATATTTTCACTAATTTTCTTAAACATCCTGTTATTCCCCATTTGAGCTTTTGAAAATTTCCATAGAATGTTCTTAAATGGACATTCTTAAGACATCCTGATTATTAACAATGGACGTTCCAAAGACGCACACGTCCGTGAAATAGACGTTTTAAGGATGTCCTGAATGTCCAAGCAGGACGTTTTTAAAACGTCCTGAATGTCCCAGCAAGACGTTTTTAGAACGTCCATAAGACGTATTTGTGCTATCTGAGCAAATTGCACACTTTTGACTATTCAGAGCCCATATAGCACAGGATTCCTAAGGACGTCCATTACATATGTCCATTTATCGTCTGTACATCCAGAGCCAATTCTGGACGTTTTAAGTATTTCCAGTTCATTAAATCCACGGGACGCCAAGAAATAGGTTATTTGCTTCCAAATAAATTTTTTTGAAATTATTCATTATTTTCACTAATTTCCTTAAACATCCTGTTATTCCCCATTTAAGCTTTTGAAAATGTCCATGGAATGTTCTTAAATGGACGTTCTTAAGACATCCTGATTATTAACAATGGACGTTCCAAAGACGTCCACGTCCATGAAATGGACGTTTTAATGATGTCCTGAATGTCCAAGCAGGACGTTTTTAGAACGTCCATAAGACGTATTTGTGCTATCTGGGCAAATGGCACACTTTTGACTATGGTAGATATATATTTTATATCCATAAGATGTAATTTATAGACATGCAAAATGTCCATAAATAATAGTAATTATATAGCAAATTATTAAAAATTTACGCCATTGTGCTCGCCATTGTGGCTAATAGTACCGTTCAGATATTTAAAATTAATTTTTTAAGGTGTATTCAATATCCCATGAACATCCACTAAGTATATCAAAGTCTAGGCGCGAACGCAAACCATCGTGGAAATCCACTAGATGGTATTTGATTCTGCTTACTAAGTATAGATGGCGATACCACTATCGCATCTACTCATGCTCGACCCGCCGTAATAGAGTTCGATCGAAATTATTGTCCTATAGACTCCATTAGAGACTGGAGTGGAGAACTTCCATTTATTGCTGAAGAGTTCTAATAATCCTAATAAGGATGACTTTCTCCTTAGTGGGCAAAATCAAAGGCAGAGTGTTGAAAATATTTTGAATGTTGAAAATATTTTTTATCTCTGCTATTTTCTTTCGACGTTATTCAATAATCATTGGTTACTTATGAACCTCTACTAAAGATACCCATAAAATATTTTGTTGAATATCCGAATATCTTCTATATCCTGGGATATATATAGATGGACATTTGGTTGGATATCCATATTGGATATATTGAATATCCACAAAATATATTCTGTGGATATCTCTGGGATTTCTTGTATTTTATGGAAGATACCCATTAGATATTTTGCTGAATATTCATTAGGATATCTTCTATATTCTGGATATAGACGGACATTTGGATATCCATATTAGATCCACGGAATATTTCTGATATCCTGTAGATATATTGGATATCCACAAAAGATATTCTGTGGATATCTCTGGGATTTGGTGTGTTGTCTGGGTCATTGCTTGTCATTTTTTATACAAAATGTGGACATAAAATGGAGAAACCAATAAATTTTTATACTTGTTTATACTTCTTGTTCTTTCCTTTCGACTTGCAAGAATGAATTTCAGTAAAAAATCCCATGATAACCAAAGAGCGTTTACATTTGCGTTGCGCCGACTGTATGTTAAACTAGAAGATGGCCTTCTAATCTACCATTATTTTTTTAAATTTGGGATATTATTAATGCTATATGGATTAATGTAAGCTTCAACTGCAGTACAAAGCGTTTTCTATCTATTTGGTTAAAATTAACCCTGAGTTATAAAAATAATTGTCAATTATTTTTAATTTTATATTCTGTATTATTTGGTTAAAATTATAACTTGTGTCGGCAATGAATCTATTAATGATTAACTGTCAAATATATTTTTTCTATTTTTAATGTTGCCTTAGGGCTTACTTTCAATTCACTTTTTAGGTATATTAGGTACATCGTTGCCATGTCTATTAACTAGGGTTGCTTGTAGCACAAAATTAAATTGATGGAATATTGAATAGAGATTTGGGTTAAAATTTAAATGACACGGTTATAAATAACCTTTTAATTTGGCAGTTAAATCAACCAAAACGTTACAGAAAGTTAAAAAAGATTTGTATACACAAAGAATTCTGGTTCAATTAGTTTTTGGTTAAATTTTAAATCGTATACCTTGTATAAAATCTTCCATGTCGGGATTCCTCTGCAAAGCTTCTTTAATATCGTTCTTATACTCCGTTATTTTATTTTGTAAATAATGAGCTTTCGCCAGGAGTAACCATGATTTAACACAATCCTCATTTATACGAAGAGCCCAGTCTAAATCTGATTCGGCTTTGTCGTATAACTTCAAGTTTATGCAGGTGAGAGCTCTATTGTTGTATAGTACAACGCAGTCTTTGATTTGATCGATAGCCTGTAAATCGATGTGTTTAAAAACAATAAAATGGAGCTTGTTAATCTCTAAAAAAACAACAACACCATCCTTCATTGAAATCATTGTTATTTTTGATATTGATACTATTAGGTAAAAATAATTATTAGGACTTAGGGCCTCTAAGTAAAGTTAAAAGTAACTGCTTGCTGATTGAATTATAGGGCTATTGTTTGTTAATCTGTCAAGTAAACCTACATGTAACTTTACTCAGAGGTGAAAAGATCAACCCTTTATTTAAATGGAAAAAACTAAATGCTACTTCAATTAATTGAACGCAAAAGACTCACCTTGTTATACAATGTTAAGGCCTTTTCATATTCTTCTCGTCTAAAAGCTAATGTGGCTTGCTTTTTAAAAGTTCTCATTTTTTCTTTTCTGACTAGTTTTTCGCGGAATCTTTTATCAGCGTCTTTCTCAACTTCTCTCATAAATGCCTCTGATGTCAAGAATAAAAATCAGATAATTTTAGCTAACAAACTTAAAATAATCTTCATGATTTTGACTAAAATTTTATTAGTTGTAAGTCTAAAAATTACTACTCAATGTTTTGTTTGCCCTAAAACATACATTTGGAGATGTTACAAGTCGTTTCAAAAGTAAGTAAATAAAAAACGTAGGCGGTACAAATATACAGGGTGTTCCGCAGAAGTACTGACACAGAACAGGTGCATTGGGACACCCCAAAATATGATAATTTAACGCAATTTACCTCTATACCAAGTTGTACCCCTTAGGAGTTACCGAAGCCTTAAGTGGGGTCAAGTTTATTTAAGTTTTGGTAATAGACCAGAGTATACTGGCCCATACGTTTGCAAAATTGTTTTAATTTGTATTTTTTTTTTAAATGTCCGGAAGGCTTTCCTGATTTTAAAAGTGTAAGATGACACTCGATATTTGTTGATGTTATTGTTTAAACAACGAAAAATTAATTAAGCCAGAAAAAATGCATTTTCTGCAGTCAATTAATTTTTTTTATATTCTTTAGGATATTTTCAATAAAAAAAGTCCTTACGCCCATCATCGTATCTTCAACCCTCTAATTGTTATGAATTTTTTACAATCCAAAATTGACGAAAATTCTAATTTTCTTGAATTAAATAATATACCTTAAAATTTAAAATGCTATAATTTTAAATTTTTTACCGAATATTCAAACTATAATAAACAAAATTACCTAAATAAATTTTCAAAATTTTGTTTGTTGTTATGTTTTTTTACGTTATAACAATATGCTTCCTACGCGCCACGATGCCACTAGTATTTTCATTAAACAAAAAATTAAATCGCACAGTCACGTTATCGTTTCGATGAAGAGTTGCACTTTTTAATTTTAAATATGTATCAGGTTTCGGACACTTCACTAACGCCTCGCCATGATCACAAAATAAACACTTTTGTCGTCAGATAATTTAATTTGTTTTGGAATTAAAGAGAACAACATTATTACTCAGAAAATTACACGACTGCAAAGTAAACCAGTAGATGTAGAATCGAGCAAGACTGATTAACAACTGAAAAATAATTTGCAAAACGAGCCAAAAATTCTAAGGTAGGGTTGAATTTTCTATTTGGAAGGTTGTAAAAATTGTTTATGACAGGAAAAAAAATAGAAGAAGAGTTAAACGTACAATTTTTTCAAAATACGAAATAAGTCCGTTTACCTATTTGTATTCATAGTGAAAAAGATTGAAAGTCATAAAAAAATTTCATATTTATAGTACTTACTCTCAATATTAGAAACATTTTTTTTTCCTTATTTTTGTTAAATGGAGAAAGAATTTGATATTTTTGAAATCATAAAATTTTGTAACCCCAGTAAGCCTACTATGTTCATTGTAACAGCTAGAAATTTTTCACGGATCACGAGAAGTGCATTTGGCCTTTTAATCGTATTGAAAAAAAAAAAAAAGGTTGAAGAAGATTTTACTTCTCAGGCAGTATCTGACAATAATGAAAAATGTTAATAATATTTTTTTTTAAACCTATTACCCCTGAAAAACAGCAAAAAATTGATTTAGCGCGTCATCGGGCTTTCTCTTACCCATCTTATGCATTGAGTTGGAAGTGAGATAGAAGTACTTCTCTCTAAAAGTACACGCGCGTAGGAAGCATATTGTTATAACGTAAAAAAAAACAACAACAAACAAAATTTTGAAAATTTATTTGGTTTATTTTGTTTATTATAGCTTGAATATTCGGTAAAAAATTTAAAATTATAGCATTTTAAATTTTAAGGTATATTATTTAATTCAAGAAAATTAGAATTTTCGTCAATTTCGGATTTTAAAAAAACTCATAACAATTAAAGGGTTAAAGATACGATGATGGGCGTAAGGACTTTTTTTATTCGAAATATTCTAAAGAATATAAAAAAAATTAATTCATCGCAAAAAATGCATTTTTTCTGGCTTAATTAATTTTTCGTTGTTTAAACAATAACATCAACAGATATCGAGTGTCATCTTACACTTTTATAATCAGGAAGGCCTTCCGGACAATTTTGCAAACGAATGCGCCACTATGCCCTGCACTATAATATATATGCCGCGTTTGAGAATCCACATCGGATGCATTTTTTTATCCACATCGAACACATCTGTCCCATTACATTAACGTATACTGAATCACGTGATCAAAGATTTACTACATCTCAGATGCATCCGATGTGGATTCTCAAACGCGGCAATAGATATTATTAGTTTTAATTGTGTTCACATTGAAATCGATTTTATTAAAAGTAATTTGCTATTTGTTAGATTTAAATGGGAAATTCATTCAAGTGATTTTTACTTTCCTATCTGTATACAGATATAAGGAAAGTATAGGAATCATGATTTTTTCGACCTCGAGTTTTCGACGGACTTTTACGTTTTGAGGTCCCCTGAATCCGTTTTGACTATTTTCGCGATGATGTCTGTGTGTGTGTGTGTGTGTGT